CTTAGCTCCCGGTGGTAACTAAAACTGGTCTCGGGGACCCACGGGTCCGCCCTCCAGACCTGCTGCCTTTCTCTGGTCCCGCTCTTCTTCTCCAGCCTTACAAGACCCTGGTTTGTCAGTGGTACCGAAGCACCAGATGCGCCTCCCTCCGGTTCGCCCAAGACTCCTGCCCGGGCTCGGCCTCTGCCTCCGCCCTACGTCCACCACCTAACTAGGTCTGGCCAAGGTCGCGGTTCCAACCGCCACCTTCTTCCCAGGAGCTGTTCCACAGGCCTCGGGACCGCCCTGGGGCTGCCCCGGCCCCAGAGCGCAGGGACCCACCTCCCACCGCTTCAAGCCTTGGCTACACCCGCAGCAGCGACAGCAGTAGCAGCAGCAGCAGCAGCAACAGCAGCAGCAGCAACAGCAGCAGCAAGCTCAGCTCTCTGCTCTGCCCTTCCTCCCCAACATTCTCCAAGTGACGTGGCAGGCCCCGCCTGCTGCCCCCTCCCACCCCACACTCACATCACACCCCTTACCCAGCCAGGGGCTGCAGCAAGCCTGGACGCTGGAGAAAGATGTGTACACTTACCTCCCCAGTAATCTTTCCCGCGCTCTCCTGGCACGCCTCTTGCTTTCTCACATTCACAAGCACACCCCAACCCCCACACCAACCAAGCCGCAGTATCCTAATAACACACCCCCTCCATCCTTCACATCTCTTCTCGTTTCTGTTCACCGGGCTGACCTGCGCAGTGTATTTCATCAAAAAGAAATCACACCCTGGCCCAACACACCCCTCCCCAATAAGCTATACATAGCATCTGACTCCCCTTAACAGCTATTTAATGGGAGAAAAAATATTCCACGTTTTCTGTATCCATGAAGACACATTTGCCAATTTCAACCTCTACTGGGAGTGGGGGAAATGAAATATTTTTAAATGTCTTGAGAGCTTTCCATCTAGGCTGTGTCCCAACGTGAATTCCCCCATAGATTCTCGCTTTTGCAACCTGGAAGGGTGGGGCTGCAGCTTTCTTCAAGGCACAGTGACAGCAGCAGGGGAGAGAAAGCCTATCCATGCCCAGCGAGTGGAAGACCCTGTCACAGAGTCCTAGGAACAGCCACCATTAGCACCCATGAAGAGAACCAGAAAATCGTAGTATTAAAGATACACAATAGCAAGCAATTGCAGCCTAGAATCTTTGTTCCAAGCCACCCTGGAAGGGAATAAAAAAAGATTCTGTAATTTATATTTATTTGTGTCAAGAAAAGGGAGGATGGCAGGGGTACATCAAAATGTCAATAAAAAATTACAGCTGTGTTCAAAAAGCATCTACTAGACTCAATGGTGCTTTGCCAGAAAGATGGCCTCCAGCACTAGTCCATGTTACAATGGAGACTCATTTGGCAGAATTTGGATGGGGCAAAAGAGGTTGTGAGGGACCCATGCTTCTTACTCTGCCTATCTTTGAATGCCAGAAGGGTTTCCCATCCATTCTGCTGAAGGCTTTAGACTGTTTCCTCCCTAGGCTGCATGGATGAAGATGATGGAGATTGCCACACCCAGGTAACTTGGCCCTGACTTTCCTGTGGCCAGAGTGGATGGGGCTGGCAATGCCAGCGTTTTCTGTGCAGCTGCTTCTCCCTAAGGAAGAGCTTCAACAGGCTAAGGATGGGAATGGCACACAAAGACTCTGTCAAGTCACAGGATGCATGTGTGGGCTCTCAGCCTTACGATACACACAGACTGTTTTCAAACCACAGCAGTTCTCACAGCAGGTGCTCCCGGAGCAGCAGCGATGAGGCAGAGGAGGAAACCAGAGCTCCTGGACCTGTAAGGAGGAAATCAAGTGGAGAGAAGATAAGAGAGATGCTAGCTAGCTTCAACGCCCACCGTACCTTGTGCCCCGTGCCCCTCCTCAGCTCTACCAGACAGCAGCCTCTCCTTCTCTTACGCTTAACGTGGTCTCCACTCCTTCCCCTCTCCTTGCACAGTTCAGTGAAGGGTGAGAGCCAAGTAGACTGCATTTACCCAGTCAATAGTTTTCCCATTTACAGGCTATGTAATTAAGCAATTTAGACTTCACACAAAAGTCACTCCATTCAAAGAAAAAAATAAAATAAAACTGCAGCAAATGCAATGTGGGAGACATACTCTCGTCCTGGGTTCTACAATTATTTCCCGTGTTGTAAAACCATTTGTCAGGGATTCTTTGGATTTTGTTTTATAATTTTTATCACCAATTACTCATTTGCATGTTGGTGTTCTCATGGCCACTTTCCCCCCAAGTAGTTGTCCTTGAGATCAGTAACATCAAAATAGAGGTGTGAGAAGAAGTTGCATCCTTCTAGAAGATTCATCAGGTCCCGGCATGATGACAGACAGCCATTTGAATACTCCTGTTAAGCTGCCTGGCACTGTCTGCCATCCTACAGGCAGAGCCCTGGTTTGTGGTTACCTTCATCAGACGTAGGGCTGAGCCCCTAGAAAGGCTTCATTGTACACTGGGAGGTTCCCTTGGGAGGTAGAAGCCATTAACAAATTCATGAATCAGACTTCTGTTTTTAGTTCTTTTGTGAAACAGACTCATTCCCTGTGCCTAGATGGTTCCTCTTAAGGAGACATTAGGGTGGATTTTAAAGGATCACATCTTCAGAAGTGCCAGCTCCCTGAAGAGAGAAGGCAGGAGGCTTGCCTGACACTGTGTTGCTACTTCCAGTGACAGGTAATTGTGATCTAATCATTCCTCTGCCATTTACTGGGCTCTGATTCATTTCAGCACAGGCCATTTGTTTATTGTATTTAAAATCAGACATCTGCAATGACCACAGAGGTCAGGCATTTATGCAATCCGTCACTAATTGAGCAGCTACTGGGTGGCCACCATAGTGTTAGGTGCTAAACAGTTAACAGTAAGTTCATTCCATTCTACCCAGGAACTCTTACCACACAATGAAGAAGATATTTACACACTATACAATAAAGAGAATAAATGGGATTCTATGTCAGGAATGAATGTAGAAGACAGAACTTTGAAGCATGTGGTTCTGTAATGGTTAACTAATTGTAATTTTAACTGTCACTGGTGAGACATACTTCTAGTCATGTCTGTGAGAGGGTATTTGCAGAATTTGTTGGTTGGATGGGGTGTTTGTTTGTTTTTCAAGACATAGTTTCCCTGTGTGACATCCCTGGCTGTCCTGGAGCTCACTCTGTAAGACCAGGCTGGCCTCAAACTCACAGAGATCCACCTGCCTCTGCCTACTGGGATTAAAGGTGTGCACCACCACCATCCCACCAACCTTCCTTTCTTATGTTGTTTTTTGGTCAGGTATTTTGTCACAGTGATAGTAAAGGTAACTACTACAGTTCACCTGGCAGAAGGAATATTTCTAGTAAGAATTTAAAGTGGAGAATGGATCCACCAAATTAATCAGCAGAGAAAGAACATTCTGGATAGACAAGGGCAAAAGATTAGACAGGTTGTGGGCATTGAAGACTCACATAGACCATACAAGGAAAAAAAGTAAAAGAGATTGAAGAAGGAACAAGGGGTAAAATCTTGCAAAGTGAGGGACTTAGGTTTTGTGAAGCTAATGGCAGTTCCCATGTGGCAGAGATGTGATCACACAAAGGATGAGATGGGAGAGAACTCAAGGGACTGTCTTAGTTACTGTTCTGTTACATGATGATGAAACAGCATGACCAAGGCAACTTCTAAAAGAATGCATTTAATTAGGGGCTTGTTTACAGTTCCAGAGGATGAATCCATGCTCATGAGATTGGGCAGTGTGGAAATAGTTAGGCAGGCGTGGCACTGGAGCAGTAGCTATGAGCTTACATCTGATCCTCAGAAAGGAGGCAGAGAGAAGGAGTGGGACTGACATGGGCTTTTGACATCTCAAAGCCCATACCCAGTGACATACCTTTTCCAAAAGGCCACACCTCCTAATCCTCCCCAAACAGTTCCACCAACTGGGGACCAAGTCTTTAAATATGGTGACCATTCTCATTCAAACCACCACAGGGACAAAAGAAGAAGTGAAAAGACTAGGAAATGAATGGCATTCTGAAGAAAAGATGATGCTAAATTGGACTAAAGTAAGCAATCTGGGTAAGCAAGGTAGGTAGAGATTCTGGAAAGGGGTGTCTTTAGGAGATGAAGCATCAGGAACTGGTCATCCATGAGAAATAAGCAAGGAACATGCCAGGGCTTAGTTAGAGCAACAGTGTGGTCAGGTAACACTGGGAAGATGGGGGAATAAGCCAGGTGAGGAAAGCAAGATCTTGTATTTAGAAATGTTAAATTGGAGAGGAAAAGTAGGCATGCAAATGCAGTCATCTGGGGGGTAGTGATGATTTGGGTCTGTAACGTAGATGAGAAACATGATTTACAAATTTTTAATTTAGGAATATCTAAATCTATGACACTAAAGTCTTTTAGAAGACAGAACATAGACACTTGGAGGTATGTGCCAAACAGGATGGCACATCTAACATGACACATAATTGATAATCATTTACATTCTATTGTAGTTTTGCTATTGTTTATTCAGTGTTTGATGTAACCCAGGCCTGTCTTGAATGCACTATGCAACTAAGAATAGTAATGAACTCCTGATCCCACACACACACACATTCACTTCCCAAAAGCTAGGATTATGAGTGTGAGGAGTCACCCCTGGTTTTTTTCTTCTGTTTTTGTTGTTGTGAGACAGGATGTCACTATGTATCCCAAGCTGGCTGAGAACTCAGTATGTAGGTAGCCAATACTGGTCTTGAACTCCCGACCTTGTACTAGAATCACAACTGGGTCTTATTTATTTATTTTCTTAGCTTGGACACAGATCATAAACAGTGTTTATGTTCTATTTTTTACTTCATTTTTACCTTTCTCTGTGGACAGGTAAACTTGAGTATTTGACTTTATCCCAACCATAGGATCCCTACAGTTCCCCACAAGGAAGGAGGATGGCTGTTCTGAATGACATCTGCTGCTTCACCCTGCCCTCCCCTAGTGGTCAGGGCAGTTCTTGCTGAGCCTCAGGTGTACATGAATACACACCCTCCCTCAGAAGTATCTTCTATGCCTGAGCTTCCCACTGTGGAATGCAGATAAGTCAGAGCTGGTTGGAAGCAGGGACAGTGAGTCAAAGTCAGGCGCTGTATTCCTCATCCTGTTGTTTCATCTCTAGGCAAGGTCCATGCCTGCATTTCAGATGCGCACCGTGAACTGTGTGGAAGTCGTCTGACCCAAGACAGTCGTGCCAACAGGCCCCGCCTCCCTCTTCTTGTTACCTTTTTCACAACTTCTCAACTTCCCCCAAGACTTGGGTCATTTCTGCTTCCTCCTAGCATTTCCATCCATTCTCTTCTGGAGTGGTAAGAGAAAGCTTCAGATCCTAGAAAGCCTGGAGAGGGGGACGAATGGGCAGTTGGATGATTCTATACTTTACAGACAATTTTTGTTGTTTTGTTTTTTTTTGATTCCCTCTTCATAATTATACAACACAGAGAGAGAAAGAGAGAGACAGAGACAGAGACAGAGAGAGACGGAGAGAGAGAGAGAGAGAGAGAGAGAGAGAGAGAGAGAGAGAGAGAGAGAGAGAGAACTCATCTAACAGTGGCATTAAAGATATCCTAATTGGGGGTGATTTCCTTCCATTAGCACCCACTAGCCCCACAAGCTATCTGAAGGCCACTTGATGGTGTGAATCTTAGCCCTAATGTCCCTTCCCCGTTCATTTAGTAGTTGGAAACCATGTGACTATTTCCTTTCCCTTCAACTTTCCCTGTGAGCAAGTGCACCAAGGAAAAGCAAGGGCACAGGCCTACCCCATAGGTGGGTACAATTTCTAATGAACTGTGTGGTTAAGGTTTTTAATGAGGAGGAGGAGGAGGGTGTCGATAGCCAGATGGTGATGTTGATCTTAGGGCTGGAGAATCTGCCAGCGAGAATTCAACAGTTCTCACTAGAGTGAAGATATATATTGGAAAAGGAATGCATTAGACATCTGCACCCTGCAAATCAACAGCCTTCGGAAAGCGCTCTCTGTGCCAAGAAACCCATCCACAAGAAACCCCTATCTTTCAGAGAAGTTCCCAAAGGAGCATGATAGCATCATAAGCTGGCAACCAGCTTCTTCTTCTCATTTTCTTGCTGGGATGGGCAGGGATGCTGCTTTCTGCATCCCTCTAGGATTAGGAATGTAAGATCTTGTACTCTCCAGTGCAGTGTCCTTGTGACTGGGAAGTACCAGGCAAATGGGTCTGGATGGTGATTTATAAGTAGAATGGGTAGTTGTGACTTCCGAACCAAAACATTTAATTATTAGTGCTCCACACACACACCCTGAGAGCTTTCTTTCGTCTGGCCACAATGCCAGCATTGCAAGGCACAATGGGTGGCTGCTCTGCCATTTGCATTCCACAGTGAGAGGATGTGAAGCTAGACCACCCCTCATGTCTCCAACTAAAGCAACAGTAGCCTGAAAGAGAGAGAACCCTGATTATTCCAAGTCTTCCTTGTTCAGGGTTGCTCTGTTATCTTTATATAATTGAGTCTATCCAAGTTGATTCAAAAGTTAGTGCCTGGGAGTGGAAAGCAGCTATAGCCAGATTTTAACAATTGGCCACTCTGTTTCAAGGGTTTTGTTGGAAAGATAGCAATTTAGAAGGCAGATAAAATGTGCATATCTAGGAAGAGGTTCACAAACAAACTGTTAATAGCATTTGGAGGCTACTATTGACTCCAAGGGAGAATGCAATGGGCCAAATTAATGAGCTCAGCAACACGCTGTCCAGTTAGCAAGTAGAGACAAAGTGGAGCCAGGTGATGGTGGCGCACCCCTTGAATCCCAGCACTAGGAGGCAGAGGCAGGTGGATTTCTGTGATTTGGAAGCCAGTCTGGTCTACAGAGTGAGTTCCAGGACAGCCAGGGATGTTACACAGAGAAACCTGTCTCAAAAAAAAAACCAAAGAGAGAGATGAAGTGGACAAGATAGAGTCCAGAAATGTGTAAGGGGAAGTCAGGGCTGGCAAAGATGACTGCCCCTTGTTCTACTCCCAATTAAATGAGCAAATACTTAAGGGCCTTTGCATGAGAAGGGCTGGGTAGGTCTCAGACTTGCTTCCTAGAATAAGAGCTCTGAATAAAACAAGATAGGATAGAACAATCTATACAGTCAAGATTTATGAGTGAGTCCTTTGAATTGGGTATAGTGACATAGGGGGAGGGACCAAAGGAAGGGAAGAAAATGAGAAAGAAAGACAGGAGAGAGAGAACCTCCTAGAACAAACTGATAGTATGGTATTACGCACTGTTCTGTTTGCATTGAGAAGATCCATATGTGTATCATACATGTAGCTATTGTCACTGGGGTATCTGTGACAGAATGAAAAGCCTAAAAGGACTTCCAGACAGTCTGTAGTACTTGGCTTTCCATCATTTTGGCAAAATAACTGAACTAATCAACATATAAGGAAGAAATGTTTACTCAGGGTTGTATCTTCAGAGGTTCTAGTCCATGGTCACATGGTCTCATTTAGGGCCTAGAATGGCACAAGACATCATGGTGGGAGCATGTAGTAGAGACTTTCATCCCAAACACCAAGAATGCAGGAAAGAGCTGAAGAACTCAGAGCCCAACATCGTTTTCGCTTACTTTTTGCTGCTATGGCTAAATACCTGGCAAAGGCAACTTAGGGAAGGACGGGTTTGCTTTGGCTTACAGTTAAAGTTGCAGTTCATCATGGTGAGGAGAGCTCGGGGCAGGAGAGTGATGTGCTGGTCACATTGTGTTCACAGACAGGAAGCAAGGAGAGATGAGTTCTGCTACTCTTCTCGCTCTCTGTTTCCTATTCAGCCTAGAATTCCAGCCCATGAAATTGAGCTGCTCTTATTCAGGGCGGGTCTTCCTTCTCAGAGACAGACCCAGGGGTTTCCCTCCTGGTGGTTCCAAGCTCCATCAAACTGAAAATCAAGATTATCCATCACAACCCCAATGACCTGACTTCCTCCCATCAGGCTCCACCTCTTAAAGATCCCACCCACTCCCCCATCCCCCTACCCACACTGGCAACCAAGAATGTTGGGAGGAATTTATGATCCAAACCATAACACAGTTGTTCTACCAGAGGAACCATGACCTGGACTTTTCAGGACTACTCAGAACCTCCAGGACCCTCAATGTAGATGGACAGACAATAAGCAGGCTGAGGAAGCTGTTCAGTCCCCAAGGAAGATGTCACCTCCATCGCCTATCAACTATGGCCAGGGGAGTTAGCAGAAAGGAGAGTCTTTACAGGGAGCAGTCAAAGACCAGAGAAGAGTAGGCTGAGGACCTCACTAGGCATCTACGTGACATCTCATGATGAACCAATCACTGCTTCTCATCCTCCTTCTCTGTCCTCCCAGTGACAATATTGACTGCAGTCACCTTATTGTGAGTGAACAGACAGTAGATATTACAGGGTCCTGAGGCTTTAACTCAGGGGGCTTTCATGCCCATAACCAAAATAGAGTTCAGAACATGTTACTCTCTAAGAAAAATGCCTGCTGCTCCGTGAGTTGATGCTGGGGTTATGTAGACCTTTAGGAATTAGCGCATTTCCCTGTGTGTGAGCCAAACACTGCATGACCTTGGTGGTCATTTCTGCTGTTTTTGAAGGATTTCTAGCTCACTGCCTCATGAGCACACAGTATGATGTGCTCTTTCTGATCTTGAAAAGACCAAGTTATACCATGGATCAAATCTGACTGGCATCATTGAGTGGCCAGAGATCTCCCCACCCACCACCCAATCAATAATCTTGCACTTGAAGAGTTGACAGCCCCATGAGCCTGTGACCTAGACTGAGAGAGCAGAGCCACAAGAGTACCAGGGATGGATAGAGAGTCTGAGCAATAAATACTCCTTTAGCGTAGCCCAGTGAGACTTCCAAGCTGTGTATTACTGCATGCAGCACAGCCTAGTCTTTGCTGACCAACCTGCTTAGCTGAGTTCCTCCTTGTAAGACGCAGAGACGGGGTGATAAATGTTCTGCCTTCTATCACTAAGGAAGAGAATTGCAATTCTTTAATGAGATCATGGACTTCGTTTCAAAAGCGTAACTTTGGTGATGTTCGTTCTCATTGTTGCTTCTTTTCTCTCCTTCCACAGCATTCTGTGGAGAGTCCCGTGTGTGTTTATATGGGGCTGGTCTGCAATTCTTTCTTCTCTTTGTTCATTCTCTGACCGAACCAAATCACTGAGGCAGCAACAGCCTGGCATCTCATTCTGATGTCCCATCTGATATCTCCAATGGCGCCATGGGCCTGGCTAAGCCTGCATGTTGTAAGTCCCTTTTCTCCATTAACCTTTCAGTAAGTATGTATTAGAGGTGGTCAGCACTGCTTGCAGGCATTTAAAGAGTTCTTACTGTGACTGTGTTCTGTACACTTTGTTAAAAGCTGGGAGCTAGTGATTTTTCCTGGCCTTTTAAAACTGAGGAAACAGAAGTACAAAGAAGACAATTTCTCAGGGCACAAGACATCATCAAATACAACTAGCAATGTGGAGCCCATGTCAGAAGGTCTGTTCATCACCTTCCAAACTTGCTATCTGCAATTGTACTATTATATATCATGCTGATGCATGTTTGCACACACACCACCAATAACATCAACAAGTAAAAATTTAGAACTCCTGTATGCCAAATAGAGGCCTCAGTAAACATTAAAGTAATAAAGGTTTATATTATTCCTTAGAATTTGTTTTGGTTTTGAAATAGTAGCCCAGGCTGGCCTGAAATTCACTACATAGGCCAGACTGGTCTGAACCTCACTATATAGCCCAGGCTGGCCTGAAACTCACAGTGATCCTCCTGCCTCGTTCTCCCGAATGCAGAGGATTGCATGCCCTGCTGTACCTGAACATTACTTAAGATAATAGTTTCCAAAAGAATTTAACCCTGGAAACCTTACATTTTGAGAGATGTGTGTTTCGGAAAACACAATTTAAGACCGAGATCGCAAACACCAAGCTCTAAGAGAGGTCATGATCATTACCTTTTACAGCTGCACTATTTGATGATGCCAAGGTAGGGATTTGAAATGAGAATACAAATTCCCCTAGTTAGGGGGCTATGGTGATGGGAATCCAGATTTCTTTACTGCCTCTGTATCCGGACTACAAAACTCAGCAAGTTATAAATAGTAAGTGCTTCCTGGTCAAGGTGGCAGATCAGAGAAAAGCACCCTTCACTTAGCAGATACTCAATGAACTGTAGCTTGTGAGTAGCTGTGAGGGACAGAAAATAAATGCAGTATCCAAGAGATGGAGGAGTCAGGTGGCCGCTGCAGGGAGGGCAGAGAATGGAAACTGGTGATACAAATTCTGCCACAGGCCCTGGGGGTAAAAGAGTGAATTCAAAAAGTGTGTGTGTGTGTGTGTGTGTGTGTGTGTGTGGTGGGTGTCTGCTTATATGTCTGTGTGTGCATATATGTCTGTGCACATGCATGTGTGTATGTCTGTTTGTGTGTCTGTGTGTGTGTGGAGATGGAAGGGCAGGTGGTAAAGAGAAAACAAGTTGGACAAAGCATAAACATGTGATCGTAAATATTGCACTGTTAGCAGACATGGGGGAAGGATAATGAGCAGTCTGTCCAGTTACTGAAAATCAACAAAGTTGTCACTCTGGCTATTTCTGGAAGGATCAAGAACATATTTTCCTGCTTCTTTTAAATTGATGTCTTGAAGTATACATTTGTTGAATAGGGTCCAGAAGAGATGGATGCTGAACCTTTGATGCAGCTAAATTATACGTCCTATCTATTGTTTCTACTGTTTAATTTGCTAGATGAGGCAGACAGTCCTTTTAGTTTTGACAACAAATTAAAATGCTTTACGGTTAGGAATAGAAAGGCCTAGGGTATGCTGTGATGGGCAGCCTAAGACAGAAGTTAAATTGCTTTGCATCAAAACAAAGAAAGCTTATTTTCGCTCAGTCAGGAACATGGGGAGGCCTACACATTGTACAAGAGAGGAAATCAAAAGAGGGGTGTGCTGAAGAAGACAGATGGTCCTCAAAATAGAGTGGGAAGGGCAGGGTCTCCGAGACATTACCTGGAAGGCAGGTTCTCAACAAGGATGCAGGATTAGACAGTGATGCCTGAAGGCCACTTTGAGACTGTTCTATTCTCGGCTTCATTCCCCTCTTAGTCTTGGGGATTGAAAGAGCTGCTTCCACAGAGCAGGAAGTGTGAGCTTTGGCAGCATCCAACAGAAGAGACTCTATCAGAACTCTCTCTCATTCTCCTCCTTGGTGCAAATAGACCTGCACAGAGAAGGCCCTCTACTTGCCTCTGACTCCCCTATAGTTGGGACATGCCACTCGTGTAAGCTGCTACAGGAAGAGAGCCCTGGATCCCTTGCCCAGTGAGACAGGGTGTCTGTTTGGGGGGCTCTGAACTGCTGTTTTCCTTCCTCCAAGGCACAGGGTGTGATTTTAGTGTCTGGTCCACCTGCATTAGGGATATAATGAAATAGCTGGGGTTAAATAATGCAAAACTCCTGGCCAAAGGATGGTAACTTCTCTCTTTTTTAACTACAGTTTCTAATTCACTCAGAGGAACAAATTATGTTTTATGGCCTTTTATAAAATATTCATGCCCTCCTTCCCCCAGCACTCTCAGTGGTTCAGGAAGCCAGCAAATGGCCTGGTAGAAGGAGGATCTCATTTCCTCCCAGACACAATTCACAGAGGCAGCCAGGCTCCTGACAAAGGAAAGGGAGGGGCCCTGTTGCCAGAACAGCTGAGGGAAAGGCCTCTGAGCCCTCTGCCTCTCCTCTAAACATGTCTCAGGACATCATGGGCTTTGAACCATGGTAGTGGCGAGGCAGAGTGCAGGGGATGTGGGTGGCACTTACTACTTATCCACTTCTCCTTGTAGGTAAAAGCCTCCCCTGGGCACCCATACTGCACAGGCCCACCTTGTTTTCTGCATCCTCTTCTCTGACACATGTGTGTCGTTTCCAAGGCAACAGCAAAATGGCCAGTATATGGGGAGATGAAGGACAGGTCTGTGGATGTAGCAAGGCTGATGGTCCTGTCTCTCCCTTTCCTTTGCCATTTACCAGGACCTGAGTGGCAAAAGGAGCCATGTGGATTCTGGCCTTCCTCTGGAAACACTTCACAGTTCATGGGAATATTCCATCCCGAGACGGAGATGCTGATGGTGGAGTCAGAGCCTAAGCGGGAATGTTGCACCTTCCCTGGACCTCTGTTTCTTCTGCATAGGAAGGATCTTGGGTTAGAGGATGATGAACAGATCAAGTTAAAACCCTAGTTGTATGGCCCAGTGAGCCCTCTGACTTTCTGTCCCTGACGAGGCTGATACCATCTCAGAGGCTCCCCTGGGCATCTGCTCAATGACTGGCAGAAAGAGGCACCTACCTTCCTCAAGCCGAAGCAGAAGCAGCTTCACCCCCAACACAGGCCAGGAAAAGAAGAGATGTCATCCCCTGCTGCCTACAGAGACCAAAACCTGGTCTCAGAGGGGGTTCTGAGAGTGACATTAGCCTCCAGCTGCACTGTGACCAGCACAGAGGCAGGGAGAGGGCTCAGACACTTTGTCACCCCAGTACCTCTTCCCCCTCCCCCTTCTGTCCCATCCTCTTTGAAGATCCAGTGAAGAGAAGAGGCTTAGGGTCTTATCCTAGGAACCACAGGAAAGGACAGTTTTAATTCACTCATCGTTAAAAACTCACACTTTGAGTGTTCTGTCTATTTCCAGAGCTGTTCATCAGAAAGGAAAACCCAGTCAATGAATGTGGGCATTGTATTGTGCCAGTTAAGGCAAGAGTCCTCAGCATTAGCAACTGCAAAACGTAGAATTCTCGACCCATCTCAAGGCCAGCTTGAGCTGTGTTTAAGGATGTGGGGAGAATAAAAGGCTTGTGAGAAGAAGCCTGTCTGTCACCTCCTGGATTGCTCTTGGGCACAGGACCCTCGGCAGTTTATTCATCTGTGTGCCAAGCATGTATGAAACAGTTTCTATGGACCAGGCACTGTGCTACAATCCATGTCTCAGATACATTTGCACATTAAGGCTCATTACAGTACCAGTCACAATAGCTAAGTTATGGAACCAACCTAGGTGTCCAACAGCTGAGGAAAGGGTAAAGAAAATTGGGTAGGGACTGGACAGATGGTCCGGCGGTTAAGATCACTGACTGTTCTTCCAGGGGGCCCGTGTTTGATACCCAGCACCGACATGGCAAGTCACAAACATCCATAACTCCAGTTCCAGAAGATCCAATGCTTTTTCTGACCTCCAGTGGCTCTGGGCACACATGTGATGCCCATATACACATATGGGCAAGACACTCATACACATAAAACAAAAATAAACAAATCTGTAAAAAGAAAGAAAATGGATCATATATACACAACGGAATTTTTGCAGCCACAAGGAAAAATAAAGCTACATCATTTGAAGAAAAATGGATACACATAAAAGCAACCATATGAAGCAAATTAAGCCAGTCCCAGAAGATCAATATATGTTTTTTCATTCGTGATCCCTAGATCTTATATTGATACACCGTTGTGTATGTATACATGACATGGAGTAAAAGTGAGACACATATGGACAAATGGTGGCATCTTAGTCAGAGTTTCTATTGCCGTGAAGTACGCCATGACTGTGGCAACTCATATAAAGGAAAACATTTCATGGAGTGGCTTACAGTCTCAGAAGTTGGTTCATTATCATCATGGTGGGACATGGCAGCATGCAGGCAGACATGGTGTGGGAAAAGGAACTGAATGTTCTACATCTTGATCTACAGGAAGCAGAAGGAGACTGTGTGCCATACTGGGCATAGCTTAAGCATATCAGACCTCAGAGTCCGCCCCTACAGTGATGCACTTCCTCCAACAAAGCCACGCCTACTTCAACAAGGCCACAACTCATAATAATGCTACTCCCTGTGGGCCGAGCATTCAAACACATGAATCTATGGGGGCCATTCCTATTCAAACCACCACAGGTGGTAGGGAAAGGGAAGATACGGGAAACAAGATAGTATACTCAAAATATAACACATACTTGTAGTGAAATTTTAAAAAGAAATTGATTAAAATAAAAATGTTTAATGGAGAACAAGAGAGCCATGCCTATGTCATACATACATTCATGATCTCCTGGATTCACTGCTTTTAGACTGTGCTGGGAGACCCATCCTGATGGGAGTGTGAGACAGCAGAAAGCTGCTTGCCCTCATAGTATCCCAGAAACAAAGAACAAGACAAGATTGGACCAGGGACAAGACAGCCTTCAAAAGCACATCCCACTTACTACTTCCTCCAACCAGGCCTCCCTCCCACTGCTCCCCTCGGTTGCTATCAGATTATGACCCAACCAAAGGGTGAGTCCATTTCTGAAGGTAGAGCCCCATGATCCAATACCCTCTCAGGGTTTGAATACACCGGCTAGGTAACAAGTTTTCAACATACGAGCCTTGGGTGGAGGACTCACTTTATATCAAAATAATAACATGGCCTCAGCCTACCAAGATGGCCTCAATTACAAATGTCTATATAACATATATGTTTATATACATGTATGCACATGTTATATGTGTAACATACATATATATGCGCCCTATACATATATACATATATACACACATATATATGGACACATATCTCCTAGCACACACACACACACACACACACACACACACACATGCATCCCTGGACATCTTGCTGCACCATCTGATCACCAGCAGGGAGTTCTTGCACAGAACAGGACGTGCCTCTGGCTTCTCATTGGGGAAAGAGTAAAGCCAAGCTAACAGAGAGACAGCAGAGCTCTGCATGGAGAGCCAGCTGCTGGAGACCATGTTCTAGCCTTGCTCCGTAGCTCAGAGAAACTGGACATGTGGTTCCTATTTGAATTCCACTTCCTTGGGAAAAAATAATAAGAAAACCTTCCAGTCTAATGCCCTGACCCTTCCCAAAGCCAGGAAAGGGCCCTGCTCTTGGGAAGTGCCCTACAGATTCTCACTCTGTGTCAAAAATAGGAAGACTGTAAATGGAGAAATGGGGTGCAAGCGGAGAGTAAACCCACTGCTGTCCAGGAATTCTGCTATGGGCACTCCTAAATCTGCTAGGGGAACCAGTGGGGGAAGGGTGAGGCCATATTGGGGGCACAAAAAAGGGACGTAGCAATTCCATCTCCTCCTTGTACCCAGATTGTGTCTCGCATAGCTACTTAGGGAAACATGTAAGTGACGAGGTTCTCTGGAGAGACTGGGTGTCAGCAAAGGGAGACATGGAGAAATGCTGGATAAGTCATAAAACCACCAGCAACATCTTACTCATGAGTAGAATTCCACTGCCTACCTGGGATGCCTAGTGAACAGGAACACTCAGTGTGGGTGGAATGGGTAAGAATGGTCTCCATTCAGCGGGCTACATCATGTCCCAATGTGCTTCAGGTGAACTAGCTTCCCCTCTGATCCAGAATCATGCCCATGATCTCTGGAGAGAGAGCAGGCACACTAAGAAGATGGTTTTACCCATCGGTTGAGCTCACACTGCAGTGGGATTATGTTGAAATACTGCACTAGTCATTGCTGTCACTCACCAGCTGAGTGACTGTGGACTTGATCCGTATTCTCTCTGAGACTTAGTGCTCTCATTTTTAATATAAGTATTTTTCTTCTGAAATTAATGCAAAGTTACCTGGATTATTTTATGCAAAATAGGTGTTCATCAACTGAATTGTTGGATGTTTATTATTAAGATTGTTTACTGTTATAATTAACCCTTCCCCTTTGCCTAGAGTTTCCACACTGTTAGGAATAAAATATTTCCATAGAAATCTATAACACAGGGATTGGGGGTTGAGTGACAGTATTCCTTGGGAGTCATGAACAAATGTCTACACACTCCAGATAAGGAGCCAGAGACAGACCAAAGTAACAATCTTACACTGAAGTACAACTTGGTGAACTAATGAGTAGTGTACATAAAGCGTTCCTTGCAGGAGTGTGACTGACTCAAAAGTGAAAACCCTCCCCAACATGAATAATGATAACTCAGAAAAGCTGAAACCCCAGAGCTCTCTGCAAAACTTACAGACAGTTCACAGCTCTAAGAGTCTCTCCCCTCAGCAGTCCTTATTATTAAAGATAAAAAGAGTGGGAGGGGAAATAAAAAAAAAGATAGAAATAGAAAGACCTTGCAAATCTAGTGAGACTTAGGGACTTCCTGAGACTTGTGAATTGTTTGTTCCCTTAGTGTTGAGGAACTTCCCTTTAGAACTTCCTGACTCTGAAGAAGCTTTGCCCTGGATGGGATGTTTCTACATGGAAGAACTGTTACACAGCATCACTGTCCCTGCTTTATCTCTCCCCCTCCACCTTTCTACCTTGGCAGTCTGGTCCACCTGACTGGGAAACTTACAGTTGTCCTTTGAGAGGGTGGTATTTAAATCACTGTGGGATTTTAAGGAAAACTACTCAAGACTAAGATGGAGCAACTCAGTTTCAAATCCTGCCTCTTCCACTTCAGACAAATCATTTCACCACAGTGGCTCCCTATTTTACACCTCTGAAGATGGAGTCACCACAACCCACCACCAGCTCCGCTCCAGGCCAAGAGTCAGTAACTCCTCTCAACAGAAGGACTCCTCTTCCCACTTTGGGCAAAAGTCCTCTAAGAGCTAAAGGTGGCCCTGGGCTGACTAGGGGAGTCAATGACTCGTGATAGAAACATCACTTACTTTTGTTCATAATTAATAGGAGGAAGCTTTATATTTTCCCCAAGTTGGAGAGATGGCTCAGTAGATAAAGTGCTTGCTGTATAAATGTGAGGACCTGAGTTCAGATCCCCAGAATTCACATAAAGCCAAATGCGGTGGCATACATGTACAGTCCCAGAGCTCCTACTGTGAGATACAAGTGAAGACAGGAGACTCCATGAATTCAAACTCAGCTAACCTGGCATATGCAGCAACAAATCAAGAGATCTTGTCTCAGGCAAGGTGGAAGCCAAAAATGACAATTAAAGTTGTCCTGTCACTGCCATACACACTCCATAACATGCACACAGCCAGACTCATACACTCACACACACACACACACACACACACACACACACACACACACACACACACACACGAGAGAGAGATTTTTGAAAAAGAAAATGAAACAAAAATTTCCCCATAATCTGATGCTGTTTTCTCTCCTTGACAGCCCTAGAAACTCAAAACTTGTCTTCCACTGCTGACTTGTTGGCAGTGACTCACAGTGGCTCCCCAGAGTCGACTGCTTCAATTTTCCCAAGTTTTTAGAGCTGGTTATCAAACTCTTGGTAGTTTGCAATTGGCCAGGGTGGGACTGTCTAGGCTCCAGAAATAAGAGGACATTACAGCCCAGAGCCTCCCCAAGCCAGGGAGCTGTTAAAACAGCACAGCACTTACACCAAGCCCCTGTGGACCTTTCTCCACCCACAATCAGAGCGATGCTATCACATCCTAAGTGCATGTGTGTTGTTTGCTTGCTTCAGACTCCCAGGGCTTCCCATCCCCCACTCCCAGGCAAACATCTGCATTCCCACCTGCCCACATCAGTTTCACCCTGAGTCACCCTACTGGTACCCACCTGAGAGCAGCCTTCATCCCCACCCCTCCACCCCCACCCCTATCCTGCTCACTTAGCTCAACCAGCCACACTTGCATTCTCAAAGCCCTGTGCCACCTCAAGCCCTTACATCTGTTTTTCCAGCTTAGACGATTCGTCCCCGAATCCTTGTGCACAGTCACACAACATTCTAAGGAAAAGTAAAGGATGGGGCGTTCAAAGATGTATTCTGAGAAATATGTCATTGCATGACATTGCTGTGTGAGTACTACCAAAAGCAGACATCCCGACACACAGTGCAGTGTGTGCCCATATTGCAAACATGATGTAGCCTTCTGCTCACATGGCCTTGATGAACAAAGTCACAGGAGATCAGATAAAACACAGGAGAAAATTGTTCCATCATGAGACTTGGTAAACACAAGATGTCTGAGGATGCTGCCGACAAAACTGCATGGTGTGTGTGTGTGTGTGTGTGTGTGTGTGTGTGTGTTAGTATAAATCCACACTTATTTATGGATGCAGGTATACATGTGTGTGGAGACCAGAGAACAACCTTGGGTGTGGTTCCTCGGTTGTCATCTGTTGTTCTTATTGTTCTCCTTGTGTGTTTTGTTCTGATTTGTGTGTGTGCATATATATACATATGTGTGTATGTATACATTTATATGTGTGAATGTGAGCATGTACATGCCATGGCATACATTGGAAGTTGGAGAGCAACCTTGGGTGTTGGTCCTTACCTTCTGTCTAGTTTGAGACCAGACTCTTCATCATTTTTCTACTGTGTATCCTGGGTTAGCCAGTCATTTCCTGTCTTAACCTCAGGTCTTTCTGAAGTAGTACTGGGATTACATGTGTTCATATTGCATGTCCACTTTTACATGAGTTCTGGGGATTTGAACTCAGGAACCCATAAATTCCACAGCAAACACTTTTACTCAATCAGCTGTTTCCTAGGCTCCTGCCTTGGGTTTTGTTTTTGCTTTTGCTTTGAGACAGGGTTTCTCAATGGGACCTGGGTACGATTAGGTGAGACTGATTTGCCAACAAGGCCCAGGGGGTTCTGTCTGTTTCCATCTCCCCAGCATTGGAATTCCAACCATTCACCACCCTTAGATTCTTTACATGGGTTCAGGTCCTTGTAGTTATGTGGCAAGACTTTGCCAACAGAGCCATCTGTCTAGCGCCAGTAAACTTTTTTTTATCAGTAGAAGGATCCCACACTTCAGCAAATGTCAAAGTAAAGTACATACAAAAGCCAGTCACATACTCTTTTAGCATCCTCGTGTATTACCCTAGGCATAGCAGGATGCACTTTACTTCACGCTATCATCAGCTCAGGCAATGTCACAGCAACATCCCTACAGACATGTGAGTCATGTTCCAGCCTGACAGCAAGCAGCTAAGCAACAGGGATATCTCTGCTCCAGCATAGTTTGATAGGACCATTGTTCTTTACAAAGTTTGTTGTTAACCAAGGTGTCACTGTGGTAATGTTTTTTTTTGTGTGCTTTA